TCTACTCTACTCTACTCTACTCTACTCTACTCTACTCTACTCTACTCTTCTAATTCCATTCCATTCCATTCCGTTTTCTCTTCTCTTCCCTCCCCTCCCCTCCTATCCTATCTTATCCCATTCTATCCTACTCTCTACTCTACTTTTCTAATTCTATTCTATTCCATTCCATTCTTAATAAAAATGATGAAAAAAGAAAGAAAAGAAAAAAAGGGAATTGTTCTTTATAAAATAACAGTGGGGTGGGGGCACTTCTGGGGTTCACATTAGCTTCTAATTTCACCCTTCCAGCCACCCCACGGTTCCTCTGTCCTCGTTTGCTTGGCCAGCCGGAGGTTGCTCGGCCGCCACTCAGTGGTTTTTCCTCTCTCCTTGTTCTTCTTCAAGAGCCCAGAGGCCAAGCCTGATGCCTTGGCCGAGCCTGCGAGCTGCACTCAGTGATGTAAGCTGATATTTTAATTCTCTTACAAGGAATGGTGTTTAGAGGAATGACTTAAGTGGATTACTCATCCCCTGTAATATCTTGGCAAGGCTCCTGTTTCTATTCCTAGACATGACGCGCTTGAGGCTTCGAGGCATCTCTCCTCCCCTTCTTTGTATTTGTGGGTTTGGGTTATTTTTTATTTTTTTAAAAGCCTGAGAAACTGACTCTTGGTGTGTTTTTCACAGCCCAGGACCCTCCCACCTCGCCCAGGGGTACTGTGGGAGATGTAGTCCTGCCCAGCCACTGAGGAAGTTAAAGCAGGTTTGAGTGGGTGGGTGGGCGGGTTAGAAGTAGAGGGGAGGAAGGAAGAGAAACCCTGAAGGAAATTAAAATAAAATAAGATAAGATAATAAAAAATAAAATAATAAATAAAGTAAAATAAAATAATAAAGTAAAGTAAGTTGAAATAAAGTAAAATAAGATCAGATAAGATAATAAACAAAATAAAGTAAAATAAAATAATAAAGCGGATTCAGAGTAGCCACTTTTAAAATAAAATAAAATCAAGTAGGATAATATCAGATGATAAAAAATAAAATAAAATAACACAGTAAAATAGAATAATAAATAAAATAAAGTAAAATGAAATAAAGTGAAATAAAATAAGGTAAGATAATAAATAAATTACAGTAAAATAAAGTAAAATAAAATAAAATAATAAAAATAAATAAATACAATAATAAATAAATAAAATAAATAAAGTAAAACAATAAAATAAAATAATGTAAAAGTAAAATAAAATAATAAATAAAATAATAAATCAAAATAATAATAAATCAATAAAATAAAACAATAAATCAATAAAATATAATAATAAATAAAACAAAACTCTCCTATTTATTTATATAGCTGAAATGTTGCTGGAGTCCCGAATTAGTGGTAGTTCTTGCCTTACAGCCACCCAACTGAACCCAACATTTCTCTTCTTAAGTGAGACAGTTGTGAAGTGCCCCATTTTATACCTTTCATGCTGCCGCCATTAAGTGAATCCCTGCAGTTGTGAAGTCACACGGTCGTTAAGTGAATCCGGCTTTGCTTGTCAGAAGGTCACAAAAAGGATCAGGGGACCCCCAGGGACATTGCAACCGTCATGAGTCGGTTGTCTGAATTTTGATCAGATGAGCGTGCAGGATGCTGCAATGGACGTAAGTGTGAACAATGGTCACAAGTCCCTTTTTTTCAGTGCTGTTGTGACTTTGGTCACTAAATGAACGGCAGCAAGTCGAGGACTCCGTGTATCAGGTGTGTCTCGTATTTTAAAGCACTGTTTCTCAAAGCCAAGAGGACTTCAAGTTCCAGAATGCCTCAGGCAGCATTGTTGGCTGGGGAATTCTGGGAGTTGAAGTTCACTTGCTTTAAAGTTTGTGGAATGGAATAGAATAGAACGGAATGTACCACTGAGCACTTCGACTTATATACCGCTCAGCACTTACTTTATACTGCTTAGCACTTAGAATTATGTCTCACTTAGCACTTAAGAGTTATATACCACTTAGCACTTCGTCTTATATACCGCTCAGCACTTAGACTTATATACCACTTAGCACTTAAGAGTTATATTCCACTTAGCACTTAAGAGTTATATACCACTTAGCACTTCGTCTTATATACCGCTCAGCACTTAGGCTTACATACCACTTAGCACTTAAGAGTTATATTCCATTTAGCACTTAGACTTATATACCGCTTAGCATGTAAGACTTATATACCACTCAGCACTGACTTATACGCTGCTTAGCACTTAGAGTTATGTACTCAGCCATTAGACTTCTACACCTCTTCACAGGGCTTTTACAGCCCTCTTTAAGCGATTTACAGAGTCAACATATTGGCCCCCAACAATCCGGGTCCTCATTTAATTTTTCTTTAAGGATCCTTTTTTCTTTTTCTTTGGCAAACGATCGATTTCTCGCCCTCTGCATGCGGGGAAAAGGCCGCACCCCATTTCCTTCCCACCAGCTTTCAGTGTCTCTCTCTGTGTGTGTGTCTCTCTGTGTGTGTGTCTCTCTCTGTGTGTGTGTCTGTGTGTGTCTCTCTCTGTGTGTGTGTCTCTCTGTGTGTGTGTCTGTGTCTGTGTGTGTGTGCCTGTGTCTCTGTGTCTGTGTCTCTCTGTGTGTGTGTCTCTGTGTCTCTGTGTGTGTGTCTCTGTGTCTCTGTGTGTGTGTCTCTCTGTGTGTGTGTGTGTCTGTGTCTGTGTGTGTGTCTGTGTATCTCTGTGTGTGTGTGTCTGTGTCTCTGTGTGTGTGTCTGTGTCTCTGTGTGTGTGTGTGTGTGTCTGTGTCTCTGTGTGTATGTCTCTGTGTGTGTCTCTGTGTGTGTGTGTCTCTGTGTGTGTGTCTCTGTGTGTGTCTGTGTCTCTGTGTGTGTGTCTGTGTCTGTGTGTGTGTGTGTGTGTCTCTGTGTGTATGTCTCTGTGTGTGTCTGTGTCTGTGTGTGTCTCTGTGTGTGTGTCTCTCTGTGTGTCTGTGTCTCTCTGTATGTGTGTGTCTGTATGTCTGTGTGTCTCTTTCCCCCCCCCCACCAGAACCACACTTCCCAGAATCCATCAGCCGAGAAAGGAGGCGCGACCTTTCCCGGCTGGAGTGACGTCGACGCCGTCCAATCGCCGGGGGCCGGCGCCCGAAGGCATCCAATCACAGAGCGCAAAAGAAAGCCAAGGCGCCCGGCGGAGAGAAGGGGAGCGAGCGAGCCCGAGGCGAAGAGCTTCAGTGAGCTTTGCGGGCTTAGCATCACATGGGAACGGCTGGTGCCGAGCCGGGACAGGATTGGCGCTCCGGGCGATGGGTGAGCAAAAAAAAAAAAAAAAAAACCGCGGGCGAGGGGACCCGCACCCGTGGAAGTTGGCGGCGCGGGGGGTGGGTTGTCCCACCGGGGGCGCATTGAGGACTAGCAACTTGTTTGGACGCTTTTATTGCTTCGTTTCGCTTTGGCGGATCTTGTCCCGGGGCTGGGGGTGGGGGAGAAAAACTCGGGGTGGGAGGGGAAAAAAAGTTTTGGCGGGGATCAGAAAGAAAGTTGGGAAGGAGCGATTGGATTTCCTCTCCTTGCACGGTTGCAAGTTGTGTGAAAGTTTTGTCCAAAGTTTTTTTTTTTGGAGGGGGTGGGTGGGTGGGGGGGAAGGGATGTTGTGTTGTTGCGTTGTTGTGTTGTTTTGCTTTTTGTACCAAGGTGTGTCCAATGGTCGTACAGTTCCCGATCGTGGGAAAAAAAAAGTCCAAAAAAAAAAAAGATTAAAAAAATAAAGGAAATAAAGAAAATGTCCGGATTTTGTGAAGTTGCGGCATGTAACAACCCCCCCCCCCCCGCGTCTGCCTCCCCTCCCCCCTCCCCTCCCCGCTATTTATCACTATTAGTAAGTCGTCTTCTGACGCGGCACAGCTGGATGACTCAAGAGGGCTTTTTTTTGCAAGTCTTGTAAAAACAAAAAAAAAAAAACAAAGAAAAAAAAAGTTCAATAACAAACCATCCTTTCTATGGAAATGATCATCCGCCGCCTTTCACTGACTCGGGGGTGGGGGGGGGTGGGGGGGAGAGCAATCCTCCGGATTTCGGGTCGGTCTGATTTTTATTTTTATTTCCCTCCCTCCTCGCTTCCCTGAAGAGCGAGAGACCGGGCTGTGTGGATGTTTTGAGGTTTATTTTTAGGAGGTGGTTATTTTCAGTTGTGTACTCGAGAAAATTGTGTGTCAAAGAAGGTTGGAAGATGTGACAAAAAAAATCAAATCTTTCCTCTCCTTTCCTCTCCCCTCCCTTCTTTCCTTCCGTTTCTTTCTTTCCTTCCTTCCCTCCTTCCTTCCCTCCTTCCTTGTTTCTTTCTTTCTTTCTTTCCTTCTTTCCTTCCTTCCTTCCTTGTTTCTTTCTTTCTTTCTTTCTTTCTTTCTTCTTTCTTTCTTTCTTTCTTTCTTTCTTTCTTTCTTTCTTTCCTTCTTTCCTTCCTTCCTTCCCTCCTTCCTTGTTTCTTTCCTTCGTTCCTTCCTTCCTTCCTTCTTTCTTTCCTTCCCTTTCCCTTTCTTCTTTCCTTCTTTCT